ATTAAATCTCTCTGTCATCGTACATAACAAACATTATCACGCCATCACTCACACAATCATATATAGAGATAATAATTATACACATCAAACACATAATATAATATTTTAAATGAAAGAGAATATAAAACCATTGATGTCAAATACTGAAAGACTCACTCATTCATTCACCTTTTCTCAGCTACATCCAAAGGCATTACAAATAGTATTCTCTCATTTTTTCTACTCACCTTTTAAATCTTACATCTTTCCTCTCTTTCTTCTCCTCCACTCTCTTTTTTTCACTTAAACCGGTCTCTATTTATAGAGTCTTCGATTACCAATTCCCTTATTGCCATATTAACTACGGAGTATAACTTTAAAATAGATGCTTAATAAATCACAATTTCCTCCCCAAGTCTTCAGCCTTGTTGCACAAATCTTCAGGCTTCCATAATGGAAAATAAAAATGTCTTTGGCACATACTAGATATGTTAAACCGGGACGCAATAGTTGGATTAATCCAATTTCCCATACACACGATTTTCGAGCCATTGCACAACGTAGAATACATACAAAAGTCACAATGACCTTACTCATATCCAATCCAAAATGGGCTAAATAGTATCACTCAACCTAATTACTTCAAAGGTAATTAAGGTATTTTTATTTAAAGATTCTATCTCTATCCATTTTTAAATATATTTTAATTCAAAGATTCAATCTTAGAATTGCGAAAACCCAAATAACGTGGTGCAAACAAATAAAGAGATTATTTAGTATCATTTTTTACTAGGCAAATACTCTTACTCACAAACGTTCACTCTCTCTTTTGAGGGAGGTTTAAGAAATATACTATGTGCTTAAATAATTAAAATAATGGTAAACTATATTTAACCTCCTTGACCTGTAATGTTTGGCAGTAAACCCTCGTTTCCCCCAACCTCGATTACTTCTCATTCACCTTATGTGTGATTAAGGTGGGGTTATTATTTGAGTATTTATGAAAAATACCTACCAAGTCAAGTGGAGTTTTATGTAATTCGCTCAAGTTTGTGGATTTAATTAAAAAAGCTTATATTTTTTCTCCTCTCAATAATAATATTTGAACATATATTTTATGGTACATGCATCACCATACCTTTAAAATTTTTTTTTTATTTTTATTTTTTTATTATTTTTTTTAAAGCATCAAAAAGTAAAATTTATAGTTACGAGTGCTCCATTATATTTTATTATATTTAGGACTATAATATATAAAATATTACATAGTGCCCCCGTAGTTTTTTTTTTTTTCTTTCTAGAATCGGTATAATTTATCTTCATTTTCATTCTTACTCTTCTTCATTAGTATAGTGTTCCCGAAATGAATTTCTGGCTCCATCTTGAGTGCAACTACATATTATAATTTTTTACATATGTCTATTATAGTTAAATCTTGTACTATCCTTTCCCATCTTATTATTTTTATTTTCCCTGTTCAACAAGCAAAGGGAGAGAAAAATATACTATTTTATGTCATTTTATTACTTCTTTTAATTAAAATTTACTTTTGTACATGAAATAAATATTATTATTCAATTTACGTGTTATATTTGCATCATTCAGTTTCTTTAGGGTTTGGTTTATGTTGGTAAACACATACGTCAATTCCTAATTTCAGGAGTGCCTCAATATTTTACAAGATCTTATTGCTCCTTGTTTTGTCTAAGTAATTCAGAGATGACACATTCCACCTTTTTCAATTGAGTGGGTAATAATCATGAATTTAATCAGATGTGTTAGAATTTATACCACAATTCTATTTAAAATAAGGGTTAATATTTGGAATTTTGTAAATTAACTATTTAAGGTGTGTGGCAGTGGGTCATGACTCATGATGTCCTCGTCATGGTTTCTTTAACTTGTGGACTTCACTTTCACTGTCCCTCTCTGCCCCCATTATAAATATTTCCAACTCGCTTTAAAATTAGGAAAAATTACATATAAATGGAGTCAAAGTTTCATATTTACTTAGAGACTGAGTCAAAGTTTCATATTTTTCTAAAATGGATTGCTGAGGTGGCACATGATTTTTTACTGTTTAAAAAATTGTGGTGCCTAAAATGTCCTTCCCTAACAAAAAAGTAGTACCTTTAGTTCAAAAAAGTAGTACATTCAGTTCAAAAAAGTAGTACCTTCGGAGAAAAAGTAGTACCTTCGCGGGTGTTTAAAAAACATGGTACCTGAACGCCAAAAAGTAGTACATTCAGTTCAAAAAAGTAGTACCTTCGAAGAAAAAGTAGTACCTTCGCGGAAGGGTATTTTAGGCACCACAATTTCTAAACAGTAAAAAACCATGTGCCACCTCAGCAATTCATTTTAGAGAAATATGGAACTTTGACTCAGCCTCTAAGTAAATATGGAACTTTAACTCCATTTATATGTAATTTTCCCTTAAAACTACTTTAATAATTTTATTTTCCCAATTTTGATATTCTTAATGAATTATCTAGTATCATCCTCTTTGCCATGATATTAAGTACAATCTTTACTCTTAATTTTACATTGATAGGAATTTATCATAACAAAGAAAAAAAGAAAAAGAAAAAAGAAGCACATAGTTATAACTCTCACCAAGTTTTACTTAGCAATTTTCTAATATTATTATCACTGTTTAAACATTTCTACTGTAAAAATAAATGTTTGAAAATTTCAAAATTTTCATGCAGTATATTCATAAAAAAATCAAGGTATTAATTAAAATTTCTTTTTAAGAATTTTATTAAACAAATAATTTTAAGAATTAAAGATAAGTTTATGTAATTATGATTGAGAATATATCATCAAAGTAGTATGAATTTTTAAATTCCATTTAATGAGAATTATTCATGAATGTATTTTAAAGAGAATAATGCATTACGAAATTAATTACATACCCAACAAAAAAATGAAAGAAAAGAAATGGTTGCTAGTGAAATTTTACTTACTTATCCCAAAAATGCAAAAATACAAAAAGTTAAAAACTTAATTGAATTCTTTTTTTTTATAAAAAAGTGAGAGGTATTATTGTATGAAAATATGACTTTAGTAATGCTTATCATTGAAAAGTAGGTCTATATTGTAATTTTCATGTGATGGGTGCGTGCGCCAAATCGCCAATCGCCATTTGCTTTGCTTTGCTATTTAAACCTTTGTAACATTGTAGTAATATTTTTTTAACAAACGGTAGATTCTCTATAAACAAAAATAAAAAACTAAATCCAAAAAAGAAAAATTACCCAACTCACATAGATATATCCATTGTTTTATTTATTTATTTTTCTGGTGTTGTTTTAGTCAGATTAATGTTAAGCAATTCTTGTAAGGGATCCTAAATAATCAATAAAATGATAGGGATTTCTGCCTCAATGCATGTTAATTGTATATTAATATAATTTGATATTGAGTTCTATATATATATATATATATATATATATATATATATTTTTTTTTTTTTTTTTCTCTCTTTTGACGACTAATTGAGTGTGAAATGGCTAATAGCTTCCCAAGACTTTCTCCAAAGAAAGTCAACAATCTCACTCTGCGAAGGAGGATTACATCAAGGCATGTTTATCTAAGTATGTATATATAAACAGTTACACACACAAACACGCATATAGATACTATATTATATACATTATTACATGTTAGTAGGCATATTCTGTCTTCTATTTTTATTTGGATTTTGTCATTTGCCTTTGTTTGGTTACGTGGAATATAAATGTCTTTTATTTGTTCCACCAAAAAAAATACGGAGTATATATTTATTTAGTAACTACTTTATTTACTTATTTTTATAGCCTGTAAGTTGTCTTTAGAGTTTGTCATGTGCATTAATCTCCCAGCTTAATTGCTAAAATGGGTATGTTCAACCCTAACTTATTGTTCAATAAATTGTGGAACTTCATGAATACTTAATGGGATCAAACACTTTATAATGACGGATGCTATTTTGGACGACCTCGGTTTAAATTGAGTGATAAATGATGACTTCAATTTAAATTTGAGAGACAAATGACGTCTAATCTGTAACAAAACATAGAATTAACATTTTAAACTTGAAACTGAATGAAATTTAGTTACTAATTTGGAACTGTATTTAGAAATTTTGTACTTCAACCTTTATCTATATACATTTTCATTATATTTTTAAGAATGGAATGGTTACTTTGAATTATGATTAAAACAAATTAATTTAAAATATTAATTAAATTTCATTCAATTTCAAATTTAAATTTTGATACTTCCAAATATGACCAATTGTCAGGTTTAATTTAAATTCAAGGTTATACTCATCGTAGACTTGTGTACTAATTTAAAATCAGCATTTGACCTTAGACCAGTACATTTGACTTTAATTTACAATTTAATATTGCTAATACTAATTGAGATTGCGGCTATGTTCTAGTTGCATTACCTCTATTCCCAATTCAATATAACAGATACCTAATATAAAAAAATTCAACACAGTTAAATAATGTTTTAATGCATTTATTTTAAATTTTAATAGATGTTTTATAAGTTAAAATATAAAATAAATATATTAAAATTAAATTTAACTGATATTTTTTTTACATTATTATTTTAATTTCAAAGAACTTAAATTATCCACACGTTAGTTTTATGTGTTAAAATTTATAATAAATAAGTTAAAAACATGTCTTAACAGTGTTAAAATCTCATTTTAATAGCATGATTTTTAATTTTAAAACACTTAGTATTAATTTTTTAACACATTAATTTTATATGTTATTTTTTACAAAAAATATGTTGAAATACCATTTAAGAGCATTAAAAATAATTGCAGTGATATTTTCAAATTTTACTTATTTTTTTCACAAATAGAAAAGAACCCAAAATTTTTAATTAATTAATTATTATTTATTTATTTTTTTTGTTCACAAAAGAAGCCATATGCGTTTTGGGCCCACTGCGTCGGTGGGATGCAGTTGCTCATCCGATCCGTGTTGTGAGTGTGATCTACCTAATCACTTCCCCTCCATTTCTGAGACAAGATTTAAGAAACTCAACAACCACCGATACAAGTAGCAGTACACTACATCCCAAATACTCTCTCTCTAGACTTCATCATCTGCAGAGAGAGAACCACTAAATCACTCAATCAAACTCGAAATGAAGGTCGAAGAAGCACAGACCACCGCCACCACCAAGAAAGAGCTCTCAGAGGGTGGTCTATTGGGCAGAGGCAGGTACAAGTTCTGGGCTTTGGCCGCTATTCTCTTACTCGCTTTCTGGTCCATGCTCACCGGCACCGTCACTCTCAAATGGTCCGCCGGTAACCTCAACCCCGTCTCCGATGACTTCGACCTTCACATCCCGGACGATCTCGACGTCCTGGTCAGCACCCACTTTTCTTTCTCTCTCTAATATCTCTCTATATATGTATGTCTTCTTAATTTGTGTTGGATTGGATCTTGGTGCGTTTTAGATCTGACGAGCTAACTCGCCGGAGGTGGGTTTTTTATTTTCCGGTGGCAGGAGCTGGAGGAGAGAGAGAAAGTGGTGAGGCAGATGTGGGATGTGTACACTCACAGCAGTACCATTCGATTGCCCAGGTTTTGGCAGGAGGCTTTCGAAGCGGCCTATGAGGACTTGACCAGTGATGTCCCCGTCGTTCGAGAAGCCGCCGTTTCGGAGATTGCTAAGATGTCTTTGTGGTCCGTTGATGTCGAGCCGCCTCCTGTTATATCGAAGGTTAGTCACACACACCCTCTGCTCTTCACTGTGTTTTTAGATTCATTTATTGATTAGCAATGTTTTAGTACATTTTGAAGTGTGTTTTTGTAATCTTTCAACTAAAATTCTTGTATAATTTATGGGCATTTGATGTATTGAACTTTGAAGGTGTGTTAATTTGAGCATCATATGTTTTCTGTGTGAAGTTATAGTTCTTATTTGGTAGTTCTACAATAGGACCATCCATTCTAAACCAGGTTTTATAACGTCCAGTGGAATTAATCAGAGCTTTTATTGTTGACCAAAAAAAGTAAAAAATGGAAAAAAGAAAAAAAATGGAAAAAAAAAAAGGAAAAAAGAAAAGAAAAGAAAAGGTTTTGCTATAGAGAGTTGAAAGTGTAGATATTGTATTTTTCTATATTGTTGGAGTGTTGTTTTTTGGAATGAATAGACATCCATCTTTGTTGTGTTTGTTTTTCTATTACCGTGGGTGTGCCATAAGCATGATTTTCGTGTTTTAATCCTTTCTTTTAACATATTTCTTAAAATAAACAAGTTATTTTTGTGTAACATTCTTGTAGACACCTATAGTTCTCTTATTGCAGCCTTCTTTCTGTATCTGCAGTTTTATGGTTGGTATATTTTAAAATTCATCTGTGGCTCCTTGGATTTTGAAATTAAATTCACCTATGTTAGAGCATAATGTTGAAGAGTGTTGGTGATGCAAGTTTCTCTTGACATTTTTGCTATTCAACTCTAGTTTTAGGCAGGACTGAGATCCTTTTGCAGTGTTTTCTTCTCGAGTGTGTTTGTTGTTCACTGTGGGTATGGGCAACGTTTAAGTGTTATATGATACAGAAGTCCTGTTGTTGCGGTCAATTTGATTCTTGAATTAATTTCTAATTCTCAATCAATATTTATAGCCAAAAACTCAAAATTTAGATTTATTTTCCAATGATTTCATATTTTAAAATAGTTTTCAGCCGAATCAATGAGCATATCGGCCATTGGCATAGGATATTCATCCTTAGGGTTAAATAATTTTAGGAATTCTAGTTGTTAAATGAGGCCGTCAAAACCTAAGAGTTTTGTTCTATGTTGTTCTTCACTAAATGTTCATATTACTCATTCCTTGTTCTTTGTATTTTTCAAAGAGCTTTAAAATGGTTGTTCAGATCTTTCATTGGAATTTAACTCTCATTCGGTATATAGAGTTCTGTGAATGGCATATAATAGTTTCTCTTTTGTTGCCATATTTGATTTATCTGACTTCCTAAACTACAAGTTTGATGGAGATAAAATGAAAAGCATATGTCAGTCCTTGGACCACTGTTGTAAAATGAGTTAGGACCTTGTTGAATTCTGTATTATCAGAGAAAATGCTATATATATGGCTGACTGCATTGAATTACTTTGTAATGATGGGTGGCATTTTGCATGCTTGCGGAGTGCAAAACTCTCCATTTTTTTTTGGGTTCACTTGAGTTGCTATGCTGGTTAATTTCATTGAACGTGATCTTTTTAGCCTCATCTCCCTATCAAGTTTATGTTCCCTTGATGATGGTTCATTTTTGGAATACGGTAAGAGATCTGGTATCGAAGTTCTGCATGCAATGAACTGAAGTTCCATATCAAGGACCAACATCATCAACAACAACAATTAAGCCTTTTTTTTCCAACTACTTGGGGTCGGCTACATCAAACCTTTGTTTCCATTCCATTCTATTTAGGCAATAGTCTCAGTCATTTCGGATTTATGTTCATATTGGTCATGCTAGCTGTGAAGCTACCTAACGCAACCCACCTCCTTTATCCGGGCTTGGAACCAGCTGTGTAAAGAACACAGGCGAAGTTAATGACTGACATGAAACATTAAGAAAACTATAAGATTTGGTATATAAGAGTCTATGTTGATTGATCAAGTGATTAGCATCTCTGTGGATACTTGTATATATATATTGGAAATTAGCTTGTATATATTTAATGTGAGGATTTGCCATCTTATAATACATTTGGAATTTTGCATTCAACTGAAAATCAATCTATACTATGTCGGACTTTGATTAATTTTTAGTTTTAGTCATCTATCTTAGCTTATTGAGCATAGGGTGTTTGATCTGATTTGCCCTGGACGAATGTTTTCTAACAAAGTAGTATTGATTGTATTTTTGTTGTCCAGGGTAAAGAAAGAAAGATTACCAAGAAGGTTGCTGACAAGAAGGTGGCGACAGATGCAATTGGGACTAGCTGATGGCAGAAGATTGCTGAAGATAGTGCTGTCTTGTATTTTTTACGTGCTTGGATTCGTCCAGACTTGCTCGTTTCCTGCCCTAAAGCTGAAGCTGGCAAATGGCAGGGTATACATTATGTTTATCTTGAGAACAAATTTAGGTAAATACAAATTTCTCGGTTCTTCCCTATCCCCATTTAGTAAAAACAAACTGTTCAGATAAACTTTGTCAAAAAAACGAGTTTATCATTGTATGTATTTCCATCGATGTTGAAACCTAAATTTTAATAACATTTATGTATCTGGCCTTCAGAATTTTTGCTGTCTATGTTTTTGGTCAAAAACTTGTATCTGCACTCATTCAAGCTTCTATACTCAGTTCCCTTGATGTATTAGTATATCTACTTCATTCTTCATAAATCAGCACATCTATTTTAAAGGGGTTTTTCCCCTTTCAAAATTAATAATAGCAGTGAACTATCAGCATAGCCTGGTTTGTTATCATTCAGGAATGCAGTTGACACTCGCCTGTCTTGTTTCCATGAGAAATCAGGCTATGATTTCTCAGCCTCTTGGTTAACACGTTCCGCAATAATTCTCACTTTCGGTCCTGATTTGTTTTTTTCAAATTAATACACGCTCGCGTAAAACAGGAATAAGTACAGTGTACATATTTTTTATTCTTACACTTCGGAAAAAAAAAACTTTAATACATTGGTCATATTAGCGACATGATATTATTAACTAATTAAATGGAGGCACGTAGTGAATTGGTTCATTGAAATAGATGCACTAAACCCCTCGTTGAGGAAATGGACTTGTGGTTGCGGAGTACCTAGAATAAATTAGAAGATAAATTGTGCTATATATATGTGTGTGTTTTGTTTTGGTTACTTTTTGAGGCTTCAAGGATTTTTTTTCCCCTTCGGTCTTGGCAAATATCACTCACAATACTATTGGGACAAATAATTCTCACAATTATTGCTTTAATTGATATCCGTGTGATTTATGGGAGATCTTATTGTTTCCAGAAAACGAATTTTCTGAATTGGTAGGTAAGGGTACCATACCAGTGGGAAGGAAAGTGATAGGTGAAGAAAATGGTACCCCATATGAGTGAGATTTTGTGTATGCCAGAATATAACTTAATTGATTATTGAATACTAATAGTGTAAGCTCAAATGGAACAAATCGAGCTTAATAAGTTTCTTGTAAAATGACTCTACAGCAGACTCCTGCAGTGGGGTGGAGCAAGAATGTCAGCTATGTATTTAAAATTGTCATTATTATAAGGTTTGACAATCAAAATATTCAAAACACATAAGTGTATATATATTATTATATTCTGTAACAATATCAGATCATGTATCCTGGCTCGTCCCGAATTGGACATCACACCTAGCAAGGTAGGTCTTGGCTATACTTTATTTTATCGGTGCAAAGCACGTGATCGTTTTATAATTTGGAAGCAACATAAACATTGAGTTGTTAGTCGGGAAATCCAAATTCAATTTGATTTTAATTCAAACTTCATATTCCCGATTTCAATGCTTGTGAAACAGATACACGTGCTTTAAATAAGAAAAAAAAAAAAAAAAGACAGACTTGAATGACAAGGGAATGGGTTGGATAATTTCGAATTTGTTTAATATATATTTAATAATTTTTAAATATAAAATAAATTATAAAGATAAAATTGTAATTTATTAATATAATCAAAGTAGTGCACGTTACCTTTTCTTGTACACACCTCCCACAACTTCATAGGCTTTCAATCCTAATCCCAAAATTAATCGTTCTCATAATCATTTTAGACTGGACCAGGATGTTACACCTAAGAGCGGGGTGTTTTGCTATCTTTTGAGGCATTTCTCTATCTCTATTCCATAACTTACCAGAGTTTTTATTTCTAATCGTTACATCTTTTCAACACTCTAATATCATTTTAAACCAGACCAGCGGATACTAGCGGAATGTTTTGCCATTTTTAAAAGTAGGCCTTCTAATGTCACAATAATATGTAAAACACTTTTTATGAAAAATTATATATATAAAAAAAAAAAAAAAAAATACGCGCACACAAAATTGTGAACTTAAAGTTACATTAGTATCACTAGTGAGGTTTGTCTCTACTCATAAGTTAGTAACAAAATGAAAAATAAAGTATGACTGTACACGTAAGTATTTTATAATACATAAATTTGGCGGGCAATGCTTTTTCTTCAACCCCCGTCCCCAAGTCCCACAACCCCCATTTAAAGCTTTCACGTACGTAGTCACGAAAGGAGTCACGAAGACGCTATCGCAATTCTCAAACCAATCACCCCTATAAAAATGGCGGGAACACTTGGCGCCATCATCGTCAAAAAAATCCCATCTTTCGCGCCCAATTTCACCCTATATAAATCCAACTCTCCAATTTCGATCCCCGTTGAACCCTACTTCTGCAAATACCCAAATCCACGTCTTCTCCGTTTCTCTCGTTTCCTCGCAATGGCCCAACGAGACCCACAACTCATCAGCCACGAAACCGAAGAGCCCTCACCAAAGATCCAGAAGCTTCACCAGAATGGCGTCTCTAAAGCTCCCCCGCAGGCCATCATCCCTTTTTTCCGAGTGAAAAAACTTTCCGAGAAAGCTGTTTTGCCCTCCAGAGCATCTCCTCTATCTGCCGGTTACGATCTTTCCAGGTAAATCCTATTTTGTGTTTGCGTATAGGTATTTATGACCAAATAATTCAAAAATATTATCTAAAATTCATGGATCTGGTTTCTTGTACAGCGCAACAGAGACCAAGGTACCAGCCAGAGGCAAAGCTTTGGTTCCTACAGATCTAAGCATAGCAATACCAGAAGGAACCTACGCTCGAATTGGTAAATCCCCCCCTCTCTCTATATATATATGTATGTATATATATATACGTGGTTTTGATTTTGCTTATTGATATGGGGTTGTGTGCAGCGCCTAGATCGGGTTTGGCATGGAAGCATTCGGTTGATGTTGGTGCTGGGGTGATCGATGCTGACTATAGGGGTCCAGTTGGGGTCATCTTGTTCAACCACTCCGATACTGATTTTGAAGTGAAGGTTGGGGATAGGGTTGCACAGATGATCATTGAGAAGATCTTGACACCTGATGTTGTAGAGGTCGATGATTTGGATTCAACTCTTAGAGGTGTTTCTGGGTTCGGATCAACTGGCGTTTGAAAACCCACAATCCTAGTGTTATTTGGAGTATAACTAACCTTCTTTTTAGTTTTAGCTTTAGCTTTTGTGGGACATGTGTAATTCTCTTTGTGAGTAATTTTATCGAACACATGGTGGTCATTTGGTACTTTGTTAGCTTAAAATGTCTTGAATGGCAGTGCAATTAAAAATCAACAATACATGTGTTTCATTATCCATTGAAACATTATAGAAGTATCGGGTGGGTAGTGTTACTGTAACCCTTTTCATGGATTTGTAAATTTTGGGTAGGGTTACTTTAACCCTTTTTCATAGATTTGTCAATTTTAAGATGCATGAGCGTGCTGAGTTTACTTTACTTCGAAAAAACAAGACACATGAATTAGTGAACGTGAATTGTTATAAACAACTGGGGAGGGAGATTGTTAAGAGAGGATTCTTATCTCATGGCAAAAGCCTAAAATCAGACTTCAATTAGCCAATCATATATTTTCAAATAATATAATACATAATAAGTTATATTGCTACGTACATATCATAGGTACAATTAACTAGTTATATCTTGAGTTCTATTTCATTTTATCCTAATTTGCTCTAGATAGAATGATAAACAATGCTTAAATGTATGGGCCACTTGGAAAAATCGTACAACAATTTAGTTTGAGTTCTATCTCCGCGTATCAGCATTCATTTTCTCCGAATAGGAAAAACCCATAAAAAGGGTCTATATAATTTTACTCTAGATACAATGACACAGTGCTTAAATATATGGACTACTTGGGAAAATTGTACAATAACTCGGTATAGCAAAAACTTCTGCAGTACGAAAAAAATTCCAGGTAAATGAGTTCAATGTGCAACAAAACACGGATCGTAGACACCGTGTTGTGTTTTGAGGCATAAGATTACAGAACTAAACAAGTTGCATGAAGCCGGTCCATTCTTTGAAGCTGATACATGAGGCCTTAACCATGAATTCAGCAGTTCTCTCAACGAAAGGCAATTACAGGTGTGGTAAAAGAGTAGAAGCATCCAAAGGGGGTATATCCACAGACGCCTGCCAAGAGAGAAACAAATTCAGTAAAATTGTCACAAGAATTAAGTAAAAACTTTGTCCACTTCTTTCTTTCCACTTTTTTCTTCATTCCTTTAGAAAGGGATTCATTCAAAATCCAACAAAGGCATTTATAAACACCTTAGATACACTTGAGGCAAGCTATACAAAAGACGGGGTATTGACTAGATCCCGTTTCAGATAGTCACAACAAAATCAGCTTGATGATTTATTTTACCACTGGAAATATATAACCCTCCCTCCCTCTTTTAAAGAGGAGCACCACAGAATGGACACTTCAAATTGTTTTTGGACACTTCATGATAAACATAAAAACCATTGTGTTGCAGATACAATGGACCTCTAGCTGCCACAAGCATATACATGTATTTTTTTTTTTTTTTCTTCTTAGTTGGTACTCACACACACTTGTCTCTTTTGAGACTTAGGAAAATAAGAGACTGATACCGCTAGACTACTGGCCCGTTGGTCAAATATGACACTTGTCTAAAGTGTTTGAATACTCGGGGCATTGCTTAGTGTAATAGTAAAAGCCTGACTACCGTGTGTGAGCATGTAACTTCGGACAAGGCAGACACCTTATAAAAAGGTTACAGACAGTTTATACCCAATATGCCCATTTGGCTTCAAAGCTTGCATCGGTAGGCCCACTGCTGGAGTATTGGCTTTCAAAGGTTTGACCAATTAGATGCCCAAACTTTCAGCACAGTTGAAAACACGGCCATAAATGTGAATACCAGGCCAGTGTATTGAAATCATGGACCTATATGATATATCTAAGCCACAATCCAAGGGACTAAGACAAAAATGAAAGGGATGGGACTATGGGATCCATCAGTAAAATATCCCAACTAGTGTTTACCAGCTCTTTCTTTTCTTTTTATCTTTCAGTTTTTTTCTTCAGTTGTGCTATTTTCGTAAATCTTACTAAAACACAAAGGCATTATTAAGAATTACCACCAATAATGCTTCATTATTCAACCATGCCACTTCTATATTTGGTTATTTGTCAAGTTTTGTAAATTAGGAGTGGCATTTTCCATTGAGAAATGATTGCATGGATTTGCTAACGGTCGAGAGCAATGCGATTTCTCACTGAAGTTATTTGATGAGATGGAGTTTTACCATACCTCGAAATATCTTGTTAACATTGTTGTAGTACTGTAATTGAAGCCCTGAACTGGTTCTCCTTTCGTACGAGAAGCATTAAGCTGCTTTCTGACTTGGGAAGCCAACGACTGCATTTTAGTACATAAAACATAATTTTCAGGAACGAAACTGAAAATAACGAGAGAATAATTTATCAACTAGGAAAAATAATAATAATAATAATAATAATTTTTATCTTGAACAAGTGTAATTATTAAGCAGAGAAACTGCAAGGTCAAGTTGCTTAAATAATGCTGATTTTAGAAAAGAATGCATGGAGATTTTTTAAAGTAATATGATACCTTTCCTAACTCAACTCCCCACTGATCGAAAGAATTAATTCTCCATATGAAGCCTTCCACAGCAATTCTGTGTTCATAGATTGCCAGCAACTGAGAAAGAAAAGTAAGAAATTGTGGGATTAGGTGATAAAGGAAGATGTGTTGATCAGTTTGCAAGAAAGCATAGTACTAAAAAGAAAAATGAGACCTAAACTGAACTCGAAGTCGAAAGTGAGTTCCCAATCATATGAAAGGCACCAGAAAACCGAAAGAAATGCTCTTTTTGGTCAAGCTTCAGGCCAATAATCCAAAATTATTAATTATAATTTATTTATTTATTGCTTTTTTTTGGGGAGTGTAGAGGGTTGTGATGGACTGGTATGGAGCATCTAATTATGAACTTAACCTCAAAGAATCTTTGAAACTTCAGGCCAATGGTTGTGATGAACACATGAACTTAAAAGTATCACACGTATTTAAACTTCTTAAATACTTCCCATGATGATTAACATGTAGAAACAGTTTCATGAAGGGTAGAGAAGTTATACGAAACCTCACACCTGTCCAATATTATAAGCATTTAATGATGGAAGTAGAAGGCTGAAAGAAGGCCGATTTCCAGAGAAAGTCTGTGGAAAATAATGTAACTGGCATGATTAAACATCCAATTGTAAGCAAAGAAAATAAAATGGAAATTGAAAGGAAATTACCTTGTGAGGAATAAGATGCTGGGGAACATTCTCATTTTGCAATTCTTCAGGGCTCTATAGAAAGTGAATTTTGGTTAGAAATACTGATGGCAGAATATGCTTGTCATGGGGCAGATGCAGTAGCAAAAAGCGATTAAAATCAGATGAAAGAACGAAACAACATTATAGAAGTTCTCATATATGTGAAATAGCTGAGATGGGCCTTTCTTGAATTGATTTAGCTCATATACGTCAAATAGTTGAGACAGGCCTTTCTTGAATTGAATTAGAATTGAGTTGTACAACACTACTCTGAAAACTCAACATATTATCACAATGATGCAAAACAGTTAACCAAAATTGTACACTATGAGTTCTTTCTAACCCAAACCAAAATAGTGCCCGTTTCTTCTCTTTTTTCCTTCTGTTCCTTTCTTTTTGGATATTTTTTTTTTTTTTTTTTTCTTCTCTTTTTGAAGCCAAATATAAGTTCGAAAGCCTTCTATTAGTTGACAAAACATGAGATTTAATTAGATATATGAAATACAGATAAATGGAGGAAAAACCATTCATCTTACCTTCCCATAAGCAAGGGCATCAGGCTGTGCAAAAAAGTTTGACATGAGCTCATCATGATTACTAACCACTTCACCTGTAAAACAAATTCAATCCAAAATTCTATAATGATGAAAATGCCATAACTTTTTTTCTTTTGTGGTTACAAGGGCATCGGGGAACCTTTCATTAAGTCATTAACGGCGACCATATCAAAGTCAGGTATAGCGCCTTTCCCCCCAACAACAAAAGGGAAGGGGGAAAAAAGAAGGAAAAAATGTGAAGAGAACGTACCTTTCAGGTATATAGGTCGCTGACTCTTCACAACGCCAATAAAATCACAAGGAATAACACGGCCCTGAAAGTTCCAAGAGGTAAATTATGGGGATACAACTTTCACAAAGAAAAAAAGAAAAAGAAAGAAGAAGAAGAAGTAATTACTATGACCTCCCCTAAGATTTGGCTTTTGCACCCACAGAGTAAACTTTATAAAAAATAACTGACCCGTCAGAGTTACAAACCCTATGGAACTCAAACATTGGACACAAATTTACCAGATTACCCTCAACTTAATCATAACCATATACTGTCATACTTGAAATGACCAAACTATCCCTGTCATCACTAACTTTTGGCAAAAACCAAGTTCCTCTTTACGGTCAAGCAATACATGTATAAATGTTATGTACCAAAATAAAAATTCGAGACACTCTGAGAACAACTTATGGCTATTAAGTATCAAGAACTGGATTCAGGGACACATTGTGCATTTGAATTAAGGTTGATAAATGTTATGTATTTTGAGATCGAAAATGAACTACATAATTTTTTTCATACAATATGAAAACATAACAGGAAAGTTACCTGGTGAATTAATTGGTAAAAGCTGTGCTGTCCATTTGTTCCTGGTTCACCAAAATCAATTTCACCAGCCTCAAAGGGAAGAAGCACACCGTCAATTGACACCCCTTTCCCATTACTCTCCATGCTAACCTAAGTTGAAGTAATTTTAGTAACACATAAGAACATTATCTAGGAGCTTTTAAATCATTCAAGCAGAAAAGCTATTGTCAACATGCCTGTTGAATATGTGGGGCAAACTTCTCCAGCGCTTGGGAATAAGGTAAAATGGCCTGGAGGTATATCAGAAGTTTCAATGTCAAGGCATGGCTACCATAGCAAGAAGAAGTTACTAGAGAATGCTTAAAGGTGGGTGATAAGTTTGTAGCAGGAAATTTACTCACTCTTGCTGGATATCCAAGAAATGAAACATTCCATACGCTCAACAAACCCAAAAGCACCTGAACCAACAACACGATATTATCACAAAGTGGAGGGATCATTAAACATCTGATAAAAGCACATCCAGTATGGGCCATCAGAATAATCCACTTAAGTGTAGTGGCACATACTAGGATAACAAATCATCGGAGAGATTACAGGCTCCCTATCCCATCCAAGGGTTGACAGACGGAGAGCAGAATCCTGCCCAATCCACAGATTTTACCGTGTTTTGACATTTAGTAACTTTTCTGCTAAAAAAGTAAATTTTTTTACTGATGTGGAGACTCAAACACTGAACTATGAGATATACCTTTTCCAACCACCAAACCTTGATAAGAGTAATGTTATGTCTGGTCATTATAAAATATCTATCAACTTCTTGAGTATACATAATTAGTTATATCCAAATGGGTAGAAGCTTTCAACCATTTCCTTTTCAATGAATAAATGCTGTTCACTTGCTCCACCTCTTATATCCTAGATTACATAAAAGTGGATGGTAAGGCGAAAAAAAAAGAATTCGGGGGGTCCAACACAGAAGATCCAAATAGTCACTCAAAAAGAATGTAAACAGATACTAAATAAATTCAGTATCTCAGCTGGGATCCTTGAAGAAAAGAATGTTGATCCTAGCTCAAGGATTAAAATTTTGTTTTCAAGAGCTGTTCTGAATGGTTGGAAAAAAGAAAGGTATTAGAAGAATTTTGAAAACACAATGAAACAGCAAGAGAGGAAAAAATGAAGACACGTAGATAAGGATAGCTGAAGATAAGTCAAATAGTTAAATAATTAAAAAAGTTTCAAGCCTACACATCAACAAGAGGGTACTTGGGTAGAATTGAGGATATGCAAATGTGAAAATAGAGTCAAACAACTTTATTAGTAAAACAAGTATAAAAGATCCCATTCCAAACACTCACATAATAGGCTATGATATACATGAAGTAAACGTTTTGGTACTAGTTAAAAATAAATTAAATTAAATTAAAATCCGGTCACCTCTTTTTCTTCTCTTCTTCCTATCTGTGCTAATTCTTAAAGAAAACAGAACCTTTTAGTTGCATTTTGGTCACAATCTTTCACGCTCCCCCTTTTTATTTTGAGAGAAAATTGAAAAAATGAATTATAAGTTTCACAAGTCCTTGAAATTGTTGTAGACATAGATTATTTTGAAAATTCCAATACATTTTGACTATTGCAGTATTTTTCAACCAGTTTTCGTTATGTTCTAACAGAAATGATTTCTTTACAATTAAAACATGTGAATTTTGTTTTTCGCTCCTATGCTTCGTTGCGGTTCACTAGAAAATGGGAACATTTTGGCTGTTCGATGTAAATTAAAGGATATTTTGATCTAGCCAGTTCTATAAATATCTAATACTAACAAAATATTACCCCATGACTTGCTCCAATATAACAAGAATTACAAGATCAAGAAAAAGTTTAATCAGTGGGGCACATACAGGTATATTTTCCTCAAAAGGTGCTGAATAGAAATGTCGATCAATGCTTGAAGCTCCCTTCAAGAACCTTCAAGTAAGAATTAAAACAATTTAGGCAGCTATCAGTCAATGTCCAGTCCAAATGAAATACCATATGATGAAAACTGTGCTGATATAGACTGCAGATGGATTAACATTTAAAAGACTTGCACTATACCTTCGAGGATTCATATTGCTGTCAATCTACAAAAAAGACACTGATGCTCATGCAGAGGCAAAATCTCTACATATGGCTTGTAGGGTTATTTGCTTCCAAAAAACAGTTCAACTATTCACCTAATCTTTAGTTGCAGAAACAATTAAGTATTAGCCATTACATTAACTTAAAGTGCAATTAGGATGCGACTAGAAAACAAACAGATGGGGAGAGAACACCTAGGGTTTTTGTGGCACAATGCAACTGACATGGAAAATTTAAAAGTTCGATAAAAACACGGCAAGGACACAAAAATATACAAGTATGTAATCTAATAAGTACATGTAAATCTATGGGATAAAATATATATCATTTTGTCTGAGTTACTAAAATGATTATATCAACAACTTCACTGTTCTAGAAATGAAGTTAAATATATCATATGGAGAAACTATTAATACTACTACTTCTCTCTCTCTCTCTATGTATATATATATATATATATATATATATATATTTTCCCTGGTGAGATTCCTTAATATATCTGCATTTTTTACTAAATCATTTTTTCTTATATTAGAAACTCTTTCTTCTTTTTGAGTTGTTTAGACCATGCACGAGGTATTAAATATCTCTTGAAAAAATTTGAGATGCTTACGGATAGTGTGTCTGTTTCTAGGGGTGTTGTGATCGACATGTTGTCAAGAAATGTACAGAGCTCCTACCTAGAAGTGTCCTTACTTCATAGCCCAAGGTTTCATGTTGATAAATAGAAGTTGTAGACCCAAAAAATAATAATAATAAATAAAAAAATAATAATAATAATAATAACACTAATAATGATAATAATAAGTTTTTTTTTATTTAAAAAAAACCATAGCTAACATTCTCTAGTTTCATCTTTTTAAAAAAGAATAAATTAATGCAATGTGAATTTTAATTACGCAGAAAAATTAATGCCAACTGCATATAATTCCAGATTGGTTGTCATAGATCAATACAAATCATAATATAAATAAATACTGCAATTAAGTAGAATGGATTAGTTACTATACTTCTCAACAACTGAGAAACCATATTGGAGAGAGAGAGGTAGCACTCCAACAGCACTGCAAACTGCAAGTGGTAGTTCAAAGACCAATCAGATGCCATATTAGCCATAAGAACTTCAAGAAAGCAATTATACTTGCCACTATATCGGCCTCCCACCCAGTCCCAGAATGCAAAAGCATTATTAGGATCAATGCCAAATTGTTTTACAAGCTGCACTAAAGAGTAAACACAATTAAATGACTGTAGCAGAATAGTCGAATGAAATTATAGCAGCTGTCTAAGAGTTCATTATGTTTATTGTTTAAGATGGCCCAAATTCATTGGCTTAGTGATGTGTGTGTTGGTGGATGACGAGTGCATGGTGTGGTCAAAATAAGAAATGTGGTCCAAGTATGTTGTGATACATATATATATATATATATGTATATATTATGTATATAAGGCAGTTTTGTAGTGTACACTGAATGAAGAAATCTTCAAGTGAAAGAAAAGTAAAAAGAATGATGATGCCAGTATAAGGGGTGTACGTAGACTGTGGCAGTGAAAGTGTGTTTTGCTATTGGTTGTTGTGTGTGGCTGTTTGAATGTATTAAATGTTCCAACTACAAGGGTGCTAAAGTGGTGAAGAAAAGTAAAGGAGAAGAAAGCTTAAGACGGCAAGCTCACTTATAAATAAGGGTGAGTGAGGAACCAAACAGAGACTGAAGAAAAGACTGAAGAGCCGAGTGAAAAGGCGAGTAAAGAAGAGAGAGAGAGAGAGAGAGAATATTGTGGGCCAAGAGTGAGTCTATTTCTTTTGAAGAGGGTGTGTCTTCTTCTTGGCGAGTGAGTGTGAAATACCTCTTGGTAATCCGTTGAGAGTTGTAATCTTCTCTTTTCTTGAATAAAAGTTGGTGTGTAATTTCCATCATATTTTCTCGTTGTTGTCATTGCATATTTGTTGTGTCTGATATTGGGCAGATTAATTCCTAACACGTAATATGAGAGATGATACAAAATGGATTAACTCATAACATTTATTTGTTTATTTTGATAGCTACAACAGCAAAACATGTGTTCAAACTAGGACTTGAACCCTACACCTTACACTTTGGAAGTGGTCGTAGTCTCGTAAACTAACAGCTGGTGTTCAGGAGCTCAGTTGATATTTAATGTCTTATTTAACAAGGAACATGATGTAGATAAAAAGCCACTGATTCAAAAGAAAAACGGATTGCACTGATCAAGATAGCTTTTGTTACATGACCATGCAAGTCCAAGGAATTAATGTTTATTGTTTAACTTGTTTCAGACAAGTAGTGGTATCAAGATCAATCTAGTAACCTCAAACAAGCTTCAATCTAGGAAAAAATAAATGCACAATTACAGGAAAAATTTTGAACTAAAAATGGAAAATAAATATGAATTTGTATACAAAATTTACAATGGAGCAAATGTTCAATCATCAAAGCAAAACAATATACCGTAAGATTAGTACTGACAGCAACCATATGCTTTGCAACTGCTTGAGGCCTGAAAAAATAATATAACCAATTTTTCTGCATGTTATGACGAGAGAGAGAGACTGCAGTCACACCCTATATCCATTGTAATAAATTTCTAAAATTAGTTCACTACTGTTGGCATTTTCTAACTACAAATGAATTCCAAATTTAACTTGCAGAAATGCAATAATTTCAAAAAATAAAAATAAAAAATCATCAATGTCCGACGCATTGCAAACATTTCACGAACTATTTGCAAATCTTAATTTATTCCAAATATTTATTAGAAGATGACATATTCCTCTTTCTAATATTTACATGCATTGCTTTCCTCACTCCGCTTTACTCCTGTATAACGCATTCTCCTATTGCTAACAAATTTTGAAACCTGAAACTGTAATTGCAAATGAATGGCCACTCTTTGCACTAACCCCAAAGCAGATGAGATCCATTCCCTCAGAGTCCGAGCATTCAACATAGTTTCAGCCGTTGTAAAAGTTTTTGAAACCACCACAACTGCAAATTACAGAAGGGAACCCAATGACTAGGACATGGAAGCCCAAAAGCATCTCAGATTGTATATTTGTATGTGTATGATGCTTAGTAGAAATATTGAATAAAGAAACGGAAAATTAGAGTTACCTAGAGTAGTTTCAGGATTCAAGCCTGTGATAGTTCTAGCAGCGTCAATCGGATCAACATTTGCAAGACTACATACAAGTGCAGAAAATAGATTGTGTTAAAAACAATAATTGCTCAATCATAAAATGCCACTGTTGTATGCAAAAGTTATAATCATATTGAGTACGACCACAAAAACAAGCTACACCACCTTTCCCACCAAAAGTATGTTGAGTACGACCACAAATACAATATAGCGCAATTGTATGTATTATACCATGGGTGAACTACAACAGATTATAAACCATAATTAGACTGGAGATCGTAATATTGCAGCAATCTCTTAGGTGACTCATCAAATGCAATAAGCAGCTCCTTTCTCCCCACCCCACAACCACCTACAAGAATAGGAAAAACCCCAAGAACACTTGTGCACAACCATACATTTGCAAATCATACCTTAAAAAACCTTAAGAGTTCTTGTATTTACAGGGTGCATCCTTTATAATGAATAACACAGAATTAGAATAATGTAAATTTATAATTAATCTTATGCGTGTGACAGAACAATTCAATTTAAAGGCTGACAGAAAACAATATAGTTTAAATTCTGGCCCTGTCTTGAGCAAACAAAAATGTTCTTATTTTCCAACCTTCTACATAACCTCAAGCAACACGAATATCAAATTCACCTAACTCAAGATCCTAAGACCCATACCTGCTTCTGGCTGAAATTGAAGGCATAAAAAAATTATATATCATGCAGCATAAAACTAAAAGGGTAAAGTTATAACAATGAATTATTTGATAAGAAGTCTTTTCAGTTTTACTAATAACAAGCATTTTGTCGTGATATATGTAAACTTACAAACGAAGTTGGCGCCCTCTTGCAAATTCAGCAGCCTCTGGATCTGCAAGTGGCCAAGATTAAACCATAAACACTTTGGCGATATTTTGACAAACGATTGATGAGTAAAGCAACAAAAAAAATTCTATGAGAAGAAAAATTAAGAATATGGATCTGCATAACATAATGCATCAAATAAACCTGTTTGAAGGGCGGTATGCACAAATAGAGGACCTAAGAAGCTGCCACCAATACCGATAGCAACAACATCCTTCAATGGTTTTCCTGTTGCTCCCACCTACCAATATTTGCACATATGTCAACATTTAGGCAATACATAACTAAGCAGCTAATAAATAAAAGTGAAGATTACCCAGGAACCACTGCGAACCCTCTCAGAGAACTCCTGGATCTTGTCTAGGACTTGCCAAACATCTGGGACCACATTCTTTCCATCACAATGTAGAACTGCATCTTTTGGAGCACGAAGAGCAACATGAAGCACAGACCTATTTTCTGTGATGTTTATCTGAAGTTGTCACCCAAAACAATAGAAAGGATCAGATGATGAAGATGATGATGTCAGAACTTTTGAGCAATGTGTCAACTGACTCAACTCTACCATAACACTTAATAAACTTATTATACTGAGAGTTCTACTACCGTTTCCAGGTCAAGTACAAAAGAGTTAGATTCCTAATATTCAAAATAAGGGAACTATGTCTCTAAATAATGCCTTAAAAAACAAAAATTGTCATCTTACATGAAGTATCAAGACAGTACTGTCTTTACAGAAACAGGTAAGTCACGCTACTTGAAGATATCATATATTCAAATTGGTGAACTTAATAAGTAGGTCACTATGTATGAGTTCATCTATGGTTTGAAGTAAAACGTATACTCACACGCTCCCCATTGAACATTCTGATAATTTTTTGTTTGAGACATGCTGCCTGCATTAGGACACAAGGAAGCATAATTAGAATACTATATTGCTCACTCCCCCAGAAAATAAATGGTCCAACAGTCCAACCCACCTCCGCCAGTTTAAAGAGCTTGTCCATGGTGTCCAGAGTGGCATGCTGTCGTGAGTAGTCGAACAGTATCCCATCATACTCACTGTAGACAGTAATACCCAAAGCAAATGAATTGTTTCTAACACTATAACTTTGTAAAGCAAATCGTATTCTATTCCATATATCCAATACTTCACACAATCATCGAAAAATGGAGGAGAAAAGTAGCGTACACCATCATTGACTTGCACCGTTCAACATCGCCCATTAGTTGACGTAAATGAACCTTATTAATATCCTCAACATGGGCCTGCAGAATGATAAATAGTTCACTCAAATATTACCTTTCATGATACTTTCATGCAACACACAATGCTAAAAATAACAGATTAGTTACCTTCCAATTCTTCCATGGCTCCGTGTCACTGATTAGAGTGGACGACTCCATCTGAAATTTTTTATAAATCAATCCGCGATCAAATGAATCCCACCCCCCAAGCAAATTGCATTATAATCCCACAAACAGCAAAGAAATATGGATTCTTCATTTTTTTTTTTTTTTTTGGCTGTCTTACAACTACTAGTAACTCAAACACCCAATTTGTCCCTACAGAAACTTGACTTTTTATGTTTTGTAGAAAACCCATAGTTTTGAATATCAATTTTTCGATAATTATGCCATAGGAAACAAACAACTCCACTCAACAAAGCATAATAGGCTATTTGATATTAAGAAGGGGAAAAGGTGGAAGGAAGAGCTTAAGAATTTTCTTTTTCAATCAAACGGAACAGTAGACTGCTAGTGATTGTTTGTAAACACATCTATTCAGCTAGCCATATGTTTATCTCAAATCTTACAATAAAGTTTAACATCCAGACACTCGAATCAATAAAACCCTCTCTGAGGTTTTTTCGGACAATTGAGTAGAACTATATAAAAACACACATCAGTAATCGGATATTTTGATCGAACAACATGCTGAAATTGACTGACACAGTGAAAAATAAATAGATAAATCAGAATTGTGTAAAAAAAAAAAAAAAAAAAAGTAAAAAGAAATTCCAAATGCAATTAGTGATTACATTTATTAAACAATTGCACCAGAAAAGATTCAAATGAATTACAAGAACGAGGAGGAACTCACAAGGTGATGGACCTAGATTTGCTGAAAGCAGAAATTACACTCTCTCCGCAGGTTTCTTTTGGCTTTACTGTACGTATAACTGTGTGTAAGATGATGAAGATAAGAGAATGATGAATGACGAACTGAAGCATAAGAGACCACTATTTATGGGGAAAAAACGAAAAAGAAAAAGAAAGCTTTAGCAAGCAGGTGAAAGTTGAGGTCACGTGTTAGAACGGGGTGGCTATGAGATTCTTGAGAGGCATTTCCCGCATGATGCGGATCAGATGCTCGACGATTTATGTTAGCCAAAAAATAAAAAATAACCATCTTTTGTTTTCGCGCGAGAAATAAAACAAAAAAAGTATTCCGTTGCCGGGAATCGAACCCGGGTCTCCTGGGTGAAAGCCAGATATCCTAACCGCTGGACGACAACGGAATCTTGCTGATTCGTCTCCGTCTAATTTTATATTACTCAATAGATTCAAACCTCCCATACGAGTTCAATAAATTAAGGTAAATTAATTGAAAATAATTTTAAGAGGAGATATAGAATATAATAAAATGTTATATGTATTTCATTTGGCGACTTCATTTGTTCAAAATAAAGGTAAGAGTGAGATATGAATGAAAAAAAAAAAAAATTTGTTAGCTCTCATTAATTGGATGTAAAATATATATTTTTAATTTTTGGTGTTTGGTTGTTGTAAATTATTTACGAACAAAAAATATATATTAAAATGAAAAATGATTCTTGCACCAAATAGTTACAGTGAATTGCTAGGCCTACTTTATTAATTGGCCAATTATGTAATAAATAAGGAAGTAGAACCTTCCACTTAGTTGTATTTGATATAAATAGCCAATTAAAAATTATTGGATTGAACAATTCATTGCAATTATTTGGTGTGAGTATCACTACTCTATTAAAATCTAACAAAAATAACTAATTTATCAATTTTCGACAAGTTATTTAACACAACCCTTCCAATGGACTCAACCTTGCCAGATTTTGAAAAAGGATAAATAAAAAAATATTTTATATTAAAACAAAAAGAGTTATAGAGTATAATGTTAACCACGCCAAGTATTTGAAAATTTAAGAGAGGTAATGAAATGATACTGGTAACCCTTAATCATATTTTGAAAAGGAAATTAAAAGGTTAGTGGAGACTGAGGGAAAAGAATACCAAATTTTGTTATATTTTTACTTATTGTGGGAAGAAAAAAATGCATTCAAAGAATTAGACTATCCCTCTTAGGGCTGCAAATGAGTCGAGCCGAGCCGAGCCGAGCTTTAGGCTGTTCGGGCTCGGCTCGTTTGTTTATGGGATCAGCTCGGGCTCGGGCTCGGGCTCGGCTCGTGACGAGCTCAAAAATTTGAGCTCGGGCTTGGGCTCGTCTTGATTTTAAAAGCTCGGGCTTAGCTCGGACTCGGCTCGTTTAACAAAAAAATATATATATATATAATTCAAAATTAATTAGTAGCTTTATCAATTATCACATAAGCAAAAAGAAAAAGGGCAAAAAAAAAAAAAAAAAAAAAGGTGCAGTAGTGCAAGCTTTTATGTTTCAAGAACAAATTAAGGGTTAATTTCGAAAAAAGAAAAAAGGACAAAATTGAGCATGGGTGCATTATGCATTTTCTATGAAAATACAACACATCAAAAAGTTATAAATTCCCATGATAATAATATCTATAGAACCACTGAAACATTGTATATATTAAGTAGAAAAAGAAATCACAGAGGAAAATAAGTTGGAGATAAATTAATTTAGCTACCTATGGCCATTGAGCATTAGTCTTCATAAATTTAGAGGAAGCAGAAGAAAAGGCTAAACAAAATTGTCTGCAACTGCCTAAAGAATGTTTTGAGGTTGTCCAGATCCATGGAATTAAAGTGAAAATAAAGTTTTGCCAAAAAATTAATTGATGCAGTACCTAATTGATGGCGAGGACAAAGGATGGCCAACGATGATGACGAGGATGGAGGGACAGCGGCACAGACGACGGCGGGAAACGGACGATGTCCATGGCGAAGACAGAGGACCGCGGCCGATGATGACGATGACAGACGATGCATTCAGATCTAAGAGAGAGAGTTATGGCGATTGAGTTGATTAGAGAGAGACAGAGAGGTAGTTGTGTAGATGGAAGGGTTGTCGTCGCCGGTGGAGTTGATTCGTAATTCGGGAGTGAGTGATAGAGAGAGAGAGACTGACGATGTTGTGGAGAAGAGGTAGATCTGAACGGTGGGATGTAGTTTTAGGGTTTTTTGATATCTTACAAAATCAATGGATGAGATGGGTTCTAATTTAATGGGTGAGACGAAATCTTATTTGGGCTATGGATCTATGGTGGATTTTCTTTGGGCTAATGAGTTATAATGCTTGGGCCATATTAATGAAAAATATGAGCTGGTCCAAACTTAAAAATAATATGGACTAAACATTTTAAATGTACAATAAAAACAAATGGGCCTGATATATATAAAATGGGCCTGATATATGTAACGAGCCTGATACGAGCTTTGTTCACGAGCCCTAGTGAGTCTTAACGAGTCCATGTTCACGAGCCTATGCGAGCGGAGCCCAATGTTACTCAGGCTCGGCTCGTTTAGTAAACAAGCTTAGAAATTGGGCTCAAGCTCGGCTCGTTTGTTTAATGAACGAGCCCGAGCCGAGCTCTTAACGAGCCGAGCCCGAGCTGTTCATGAACAGTTCGGTTCATTTGCAGCCCTAATCCCTCTAACTCTATAAGTTCTTCCCAATTATCTCTTTTACCTCTTCATTTTAAAAACAAATACAAGTAATCCCCTTGCTGCTATCCTCTCCTTAGTCCTTACCTTTCTTTCAATTCTCAAAAACTAAACCAGGTATTAATCTTTGACTTATAAAAATAAAAAAATGGAAATGAAGTATTGAAAAAGTCAATTTTTAAGTATTGAAGTTTTAAATGATATTTGTAAATTAAAATTTTTTTATATATATTTTTAAAATTTTAAGTGCTGTTTCACTAAAAAAAAAAGTTTAACTCATTTTCAATAACACTTATTTTTTTAACTTTTCAAATTATCGTATCAAAACTCACTTAAATTATTCAAAATTAAATATTAAACTTGGTTATAAAATAAAACCCAACTTTATCAAATTTTATTGAGAATACTGTGTATTTTCTTCTTGTTTTTAAAACACAAAAATTCCGTATACGGAACGAATGAAACTAACGTTACACGGGCAAATTTGACATTTTAAATATCTACTCCATTCCTGGGTTAAAAAAAGAAAAGAAGAAAAAGATAGTAGTTAAGCACTGTTGACATAACTTTATCTGATATCAGCATAGTTTACTAAACAAAGAGAGGATGTGTATGTGATTATAACAAATCTCAAGTGACTTCACTTTCAATTTATAATAATACATTATACCCAATGATGTAATACAAGAGTTTTATTTTACGGTACATTTGATCGCAAACTGATGCTGGGATCCATGCGGCAAATATTCGCCAAAAAAAAACTTATATAATAATATATATATATATTTATATTTTTGGGTAAGTTGAATGGCATCAGCTGTATTGTTTGGGGCCTTTGGTCCGTGTTCGAAACTTACCAGGATCATCTTCCCTCCCTCTTTAATGTGCGGGTCAGTTTAATGATTTGTTTGGTTAGAGAGATGGAAAAAAAAGAGGGAGGGATGGAAGAAGCATCTCTCGGTCTCCCTCATTTTTTGTTTGGTTGGAAGGAAAGAAAAAAAAATTTTTATATTATTTTTACCAATATACTCTTATTATATAAAATTATAAAAATTAGATATCTATTTCAAATTATGCAACACAATTGAGACTTCTGAACCAGCAAGTTGTGCAAATAATTTTTTACTCAGGCTCGAGTGAAAAAAAATTGACTGAGAATTTTAGGAAGGTTAAAAATGTAAATTAAAGAAATTTTTTTGATTGATATTGCATCTCATTTTTAATTTTGACTGAGCAAATGGCACTTCTTCCGCGTATTTTTTTTAATCCCACCAAATGTAAGTCGACAATAAGAAAAAAAAAAAAGAGAGAGTAATAATGCAAACAATGATTATTTTTTTAAGGAAGATGATATTGGCATTTTATTTTTTTTCTAATTATATTTAATTTATTTTAAAAAAAATAACAAGAAAGTTCTTAAATTCATTAACGCATCATACCTTATTTAAAAGGCCATAAATACTCTTTATATGTACAACTTTAATATATTTTTTTCCTGTACCATACGTTGTTTATTTTTATTTTTTTTTGTGGAAGTCCTCTAAAGATAATTTATTCAATAAAGATAATTTTATTTTTGGCAGTGAAAATTATTCAATAGTAAACTTTTTAAGGTATTAGAGATAACCCCCGCTCCCCTATCCTCTCTTTTTTTGGGTAATTTTTGATGGGTTCATCAAGGGAGATAATTTATTTAGTACAAATACCCCCTTCTGTCTTGTCAAAAGATATAATTTATTCAAAAAATATTATTAATTTTGAATCCTCTTTTTTTGTAATTTTTTTTATCTTGACAAAAGAGATAATTTATTCAATAAAGATATTATTTTGGAGGATTTTTCCCTGTCAAAAGAGATAATTTTTGTTAATAGGTACTTTTTTTTAGGTTCGGTCAAAAGAGACAATTTATTAACAGAAATAACTTTTATTTCGGATACTTTGTTTTTTGGTCCTATATAAAAAAAATAAAAAAAAAATCCACAGAGTAATTTTTTTTTTTTTTTTTTTTTTTTTTTTTTGTGTTGTCAAAAGAGATTTAAAATATTAGTAAAGATTACAGATAAAAAGAGAAAATATAAAAAGGAGTTGTGTTATTTGAAAAATAATAATAATTTATTTGTAAGGTAGGATTCTTTTAATATTGAAGTACAAATATAAAAAAATAGAGTGCGCCTCACCTTTTTTAATTGGCACCTCAATTGCTAATAAAAACAGTACAACACTTCTATCATTTTTAAAAGCAGAATTATTGCTTTCAAAATTTGTACTCATACAAGGTCTCCAATCATTAATTGATCCAGTCTATAATATAAACAATCATAATAGTTAGATTTAGATCATAAATATCAATTGACACCATTGTGGAGTGGATATAGTGAAAAAGAAATTCGGATATTCACATGTGGAGCTTCATCTTGTGGTGGACATATACAACAACTTTCTATAATTTATGCAATAATTTTATATCATTTGTACAACAATAACTATTATTTTTATGTATATATTGTACAACGAT